TATAAAATGTGGTCACAAGATTGGATGGGTCATATAAAATGCGGTCCCCACTAGATTGGATGGGTCATATAAAATGCGATCACAAGGTTGGATGGGTCACATTGAATGATATCACAAGGCTGGATGGGTCATATAGAATGCAGTCACATGGTTGGAATGGGGACACAGGGTTGGATGGGTCATACAATGCAGTCACAAGGTTGGATGCTCGCATTGAATGGGATCACAAGGTTGGATGGGTCATATAGAATGCGGTCACATGGTTGGAATGGGGACACAGGGTTGAATGGGTCATAAAATGCAGTCACAAGGTTGGATGGGTCACATTGAATGGGGTCACAAGGTTGAATGCAGTCACAAAGTTGGATCACATGGTAGGACAAGGTGGGATAGAGGTCGTACCTTATGGGGAAACAGCAAAGTTCTAAAATATCAAATGGTAGAAAAGGGCCGTACCCAAAAATTAGAAAAATCTGCAGATGAAATTTGAAGAAAATACTTTCATTTCAAAACTAGGCAGGGAGTGAGAACAATTTGCAATTTTGTAATCCCCCCCCCTAGAGTTTTTAAATGTAAAAGCAGACTAGCATATTGTCCGACATCGAGATAATTGTCCTGATCCACAAATTGTATGTGCAAGTACATAGTCTTTTGCAATTTTCTTTTAAAGCAAGTAGATTCAAGCAACCCTGCAACTTTTTCAGCATATATCCAATCCAACAATTGACCTGCAAAGGGGTTGTTAGAGCAGTGGGGAAGGAACAAGGAAAGAGGACAAACAAAAAAAAGCAGATTTCATTCCAGCATATTCTTGTAAGCAGTCTTTATTGTAATATTGACAACCTGGAAAATATTTAATATACTGTACCATAAAAAGTACAGTAGAAGTTCCAAAAGTAACAACTAATCTTTGCTGATTTTAAGCACAAGTACTGAAATGGCAGCAAAACATATACACACTGGGAAAAAAAACATGATCATGTGGTGGGCTGAAACTGAAATCTGAGAAGTCTAAAAAGGCGATTCTAAGGTTGCATTAATATTTCAGACCTTAAAGCAATGAATCACTTTGCAAAAAGGCAAAATTTATTATACAAAAACACATTGCTTTTTAAGTTTTTCAGATTTTTCTGATCAGCCCTGCTTAGTAATCCACACAAACAAGGTAGAGTTTTAAACAATGATCAAAATAGACCCACCATTTTTAGATACAATTTAATTATATTGGTTTAAACAATTCCCACAGAAATTGTGTGTACCGTAATATACAGGTTATTTCAGTACAAAGAAAGAGCACTATGGGAAAGTTAGCCACTGTTCCCCAATCTACAATGGAACCTCTTTTCAAAAAAAAAAGGAAATCACAATAGCCACAAGTAAATGATTATAAATCCACATACCATTATTTTAAGTAAAACAGACAACCTTGCTTCAATTCTGTAATTTGCTTAAACCACAAAAGCGGTCTTTATCTTCCAATGTAACCAAAAAAAAAAAACATTCACCTTGCATCCAAAATTACTACATCTTACATATCTATAATGGCCATAAAGCAACTAACTGCTGGGGCAGAACAGCAATTGCTTGTAACCACTAAAATTGTGCATCTGGAAATTCAGTCCCCTCATGAAACTTTACAGAAGACTCCACAATCATCTTCTTCAGTAGTTTGATGGACTAATGTCGCAGTATGTCCACCAAACTATTTTGAGAGACATTTCATTACTACACTGAATTAATATACATTGTTTTTTTTAAAAAGAAAGGAAAAAAACATCTGATACCGCCAACGGGACAATGTAGCATGTATCAGATTATACTTTCATGTATAAGCCTGTTTTCATTGATAAAATCACCAACACACACATAATACTTAGTATTTTCAAAATAAAACAATGCCAGCTACAATTTCCCCCACACTTGTCCTCAATGTGTTTTACAATACAGGGAGGGTTCAATAAAGCTATAAATAAATCATTTCATTCTATCTATTTACTTATTTAATTAAATTTGTCATTAATGACACCCATATAAATATCTCTCTCCACATTTTAGTGTCCTAGAATAGAGTTCAATCATTTCAAGATGTGGGTGTCTGTTGACTATCCTTGGTTTCTTCAATGTTTTCTGGTTCAGATGATGGGGCTGGTGGTGCTTCATTGTTAGTATTGTCTTCTGTTTTAACTTCTTTTTCTTCTGCAGGCTTTTCATCTTTTTTCTCATCACTTTTAGCAGAGGGAGCCTGTCCAAGCTGCTGGGTAAAAAATGCTTTGGCCGAGGCAAGTGCATTCATGCGTTCCTTGGCCTGTTGTGCTTTTACAACATGGGGCTGCTGAGGAGGACCAGGCGGAGCAGTGAGCTTATTTGAATGTCCTTTCAGCTTGTTTTGGAAAGCAGGACTTGGCCCAACCTGAGGTCGAGGTTGCTGCTGCTGCTGTTGTTGCTGCTGCGGAGGTGGCGGTTGGGGACGAGGCTGAGGCTGTCGTGTAGGTGGCACAACTGGTTGGAACTGCTGCATGTTCGGTCTCTGGATTGGTGCAGGGTATCTCAATGCACCAGCTGGTGCAGACTGCATCTGTACAATTCCACCACCTGGATGATGAAAGAGTGCCGTCTGAGGCCTTATCATAGAAGGATGTCTGGCCACTGTCATCTGAGGAGGTACACTTGCATTCACAAATGCTGGATTGCCATATTTGTGTTGAGGCATGCTTGGTGCTTGCGTAAACACTGGTTGCACTTGATATCCACCAATGCTCAATGACTGGCTTTGGATTTGACCTTGTTTGGGTGAGAAGCTTTGCTTTTGAGTGTGACTTGCACTGGGACTCTGCTGCTTGTATGTTGGGCTATTGGATGGTGAGAAGCTCTTGTTAGATGGTGGTGTGGCACTTCTTCCGGGACTAAATGGCTTGGCATCTACATGTTGATTCATATCAGAAGCTCTCGGAGACATCTTACTGGCAGGTTGAGACGAGACATTGCTAGCACCAACAATGCTTTGACTGGAAGCTGAAGCTGAAGGATACGGTTTCACCTGTTGCTGAACTTGACCAGCCTGTGCAGACAATGGAATATTTACATGTGGTGGTTGGGAACTGCTATAACTTTGCACAGAGTACTGTACTGGGGAACCAGATGGCGGAATTTGCATGTTACTCTGTTGTACTTGGGCTGAAGCAACTTGTGTACTGTTGAAGAATTGGGTTGAGCCATGCTGTGGAGGTGGTGTAAACATTGTCTGTTGTTGAGGCTGCTGTTGTTGATGATGATGTTGAGCCTGCTGCTGTTGATGATGCTGAGCCGCCTGCTGTTGATGATGCTGAGCCGCCTGCTGCTGCTGCTGAGCCTGCTGCTGTTGTTGTTGTTGTTGTTGTTGTTGTTGCTGCTGCTGCTGCTGCTGCTGCTGTTGGATGTTTGTTTGGAGCGTCACGACTGGAGAAGCTGCAACCATCATTGGTGGTCCTCCAATAACTGAAGGATTCTGAGAATGAGAACATACATATACATAATTAGTCATGACTACCTCCTATAAATATAATGCAAACGTCTCCAAGTATATTTACAAGGTGGACGAATTTGGTCGAGGCATATGTGGAATGCACTAAATCCATCCCAAGAATGTACCAATGAAATTTTCCGTGAATTCCCAAAGGCATTCTGGCAACACAATGCAGAAGTGAATTATAGACACCTAAGTATGATTTGTTGGACTTGATTTCAGCCAAAAGCTAACATTTTTTAAAACGAGCAGTCTCTGAAGATATCGCCACAAAATAAACAAATCTAACAAGTCTACCGAAGATACCCCAAGTATCAAAGCAACTTGTACGGCAAAAACTCTAAAATTTCAACCCGTTTTAAATAATTTGTGTATGTTTTTAGAATACAAAATTTAGGTGCATTTTCGAACGGTCAAATTTTTCAGAATAGAAATCAGCAAATGAAACAAGCCTGTTGTCTGAGATAGCTCTGCTGTTAGCAATGCACATTTCAATTTAAGAACTGACGATATCATTAGAAAATGAAGAGTATGTACAAGTATCAAAGCAATCGAAAATATCACTTTTTACCAAAAAAGATAAATATTCAACAAAAATAGTGATTTTTAGATTTTGACATGAAATAAACTAATCTGAGAAAGAACCATCCAAGGTACCGGCAAACATTCTGACTTGCAGTTTCGAAGAAGAAGTTGAAATTGTAAAGTTGACGGCGACGACAGGTAATATAAACAGCTCTGCTGTGTCGACTTTGAACATCAGTCAATTTATTGCTTAATTTTTGATGATTTTTTCCAGCACAAAAATGGCCATCATTTTGAAACAAATTGATGTGCACATGTATAATATGTATGTTTGAATGTAATCGGTCAAGGCATGTTTAAGATTTAGATGCACATGCATGCATTTTAAGACTATTTTGGAAAAAAGTTAAACAATTATCTCAGACCAGGGGAGCTATGGACTAGACAAATTTGAAGGGGATGGGCACTTGACTGAATATGAATATTTGCCAAAAATGTAGAATTGAAGATAGCATCTTGAAATAAACAAATCTGAGAGATGTCCACCCAAGGTGCATACAGTAAATATCAAAGAAACAGACCTGCAGTTTTTAAGAAGTTAAAAATGTAAAGATGGCGGCACCACCAGACAAATCAGTAATATGAACAGCTCCCCTGTCTACTTAAATGACAGCAAGGCTATAATGCAAAAAGTAGTCCACAATTGTTTTGGCTTAACGTGATGCATTTGGAGGAAAAATCAAGTAAATAATTTATAAATGACCCTTCTCAGTTTCACAAATTTAAGGCAATTGCAATATCTCACATACACACCAACATTTTAATTTGTAATTGTGACACTAGTTAGTTGAAGCTTTCACTCATTGAAGACAATGAACATCTCATCCTCCTTACCTGTGCAAACACTTGACTTGGCTGAATACCAGTGGACGACACACTACCATACGATGGTTTAGTTACTGCAGGAAGTGAATATGTGCTCTGCGGCCCAGTAGGCTTCACTGGCATGGCCACACTAGTAGATAAGAGAGGTGCTTGTGAGTACACTGGTGAGTAAGAATAGGCTTGATAGGGTTGTGTCTGCATCACCTGTTGAGGCGCCATTTGCATTTGTTGTGGCTGTTGCTGCTGCTGTTGTTGCTGCTGCTGCTGCAACAGTGAATTTGACAGAAGTGGTCCAATGGTACGACTTCCAGGCGCTTGTGTAGTAACTGCTTGGGGTTGTGGGGTAGCCAACTGCCCATACATCGGCTGAGATAACCCAAATGAGTAATTGGAATACCCTGCAGCTGCCTGACCCTGAGCAGTCTGCTGCACTATGCCAACTGCTGAAGCTGACCTTTGTGAACTTTCTGTTTGAAATAGATACTGCTGCTGTCCTGTATTATTTGCAAACAAGGTCTGTGAACCGGCAGACCTACTTAGGTCAGCAGTAATGGCATTTGATGGTTGAATAGAGTAAGCCATCTCCATCATTCGCACTTGATCAGCCGAAGCAGGTCTCAATGTTGATGAGAAAGCTAATCCTGGGGAATAAGGGCCGCCGACAGAAACTGGGTTAAGACCTGAAGGAGCAAATGATTGGGCATTGTTAATTGTATTTGAAGTCGCCACTACTGACGTTTGGATGCCGCTTTCAAATGTACTGTATGATCTTGGACTGGCTTGCAACATCACCGTTGGGGAATCACTACTTCTTGACATAAAACTGCCAAAATTATCTGGACTGCCAATTGTGGGAGGCGTTGTTGTAGTATCTGCAATGAAACCACTATAAGTACTTGCAACTGTAGTAGGTTCTGTTTGTGCTGCAGAATTCTGTGAAGATGATGGTACACTGGTTTGTTCAAGCACTGGTTGTAGAGGAGACTCCCATACACGTTTTGCTGAAGCAATCTTTAAAGAGAGATCTGCTGAAGGAGAGACTGGTGAATGTGTCCCCACCAATCCCTGCACAGATACTGATGGAAGATCCATATCACTGGAAGTGACATCAGTGGTTGATACAGCGGCTACAATATCACCAAGACCCTGTGTGGAAGAAAGAAAAACAAATTAGATATCTTCATCAGACATGGGTCACAGTCAAAACATCAGCCTCTAGCAAAGAGATGGTTTTGTTACATCAACAAAACAGGTATAGGAAATGTCTCAAAAAATGTTTTTTTCAAGTTGACAATTAACTGGCAATATGAATGCTGTGATATGCACATGTCTAAGGAAAGGGGTATAATCTGCCCTAGCTTATAAAAACTGAGACAAGTACTGGAAACCTAAGTGCCCAGTGCGCACATGAAGTGAAGATTACTTGTCATTGACAAATCAATTACAGGTGTCGAATTTAGAGTAACATCAGTTTTCAAGTTTACTACCAAACAGGCATGTGTGATATTTTGTTGAATTACTGGTACATCACCAGCATGTATGGCAGATATATTTACTGCCAACGAGTCATTCTAAAAAGTTTAGGTAGTT